GGAGGCACCGCGATGTTGCACCAAAATTTCCGTGCCAACTGTGAAAAAGGAGTGACGTAGCAAGAACATAACCAACGACGGTAAGTCACGAAGGCATAGAGGTTTGTAATGTGAACCGGCTTTTCGATATCGGCCTCGAAATAGGCGTCCAAGTGAATTGCGGTCCCGCATCGTAATCTGTATGTCAGAATCCAAGGGAATCTGTTGGTGGCGAGCGAACATGTCTGTCAACGACGAGATCGAGTGGTAAATGCGATCATGTGGAACCGAAGTGAAGAAACCAGAAAGATCTTGTTGAAGTAGTTGAAGTTCCACCGTGACCGGGTTGTTGCGGAAGGCATGTATGAACGTCTGGATGATGGAGTGGACGGTAGGGGAAACGAACTGAGGTGGAACGACCGTCTGTAGCATCTGTAGGACTGCTGTGGAAAGAAATTTCGCGAGCGTGGCACACCACGTGTTGGAATAGCTGACAATCGGGCGACCCTTCAAAAATTGTTTGGAGGGCTTGGGGAGCACGTAGGCGTACGGCAAAGATTCTTTGGGTGCCAGGGCCCAGTGATAGCGTGCAGGAACATGTCGTTTGATGGCTCGTTGTATATGTTCCGACAGCTGCATCGGGTTGGTGTCTCGTCGCCAGAAAACTGCCGGATCCAGAAAAGTCTTGGTCAAGATGTCGAAATATTGTTGAGGACAGAATCCATACGCCAAATGCGGGCCATGATCAATGGGGGAGATCACGATGTGCTCAGAGCTTTCCCGTAAGTTCTTGAGTTCACGTAACTGTCTGCCGTCAGGTCGCATCCGTAGAGTTTGTCCGTGTAGTCGCCATTGGTGTGAGACAAAAACCTGCCAGCGAAGTAGGGATTGGTCAGGTTGTCGCCACAGCTTGAACCATCGGCTCATAGGGGCCACTGTGTACCTGCGAAATTGTGATTTGGTCAACCATCGGCCGTCACTCATGTTCTCCCGGTAGATGGATTCGCTCAGGACGACATTGGCCGGAGCAGCCACGTGATCTGAGGGTGTGCGTTGTCCTGGAAGTTGTTGACAACAGCAAGGAAAGGGTTTCTCTGGGTCCCACTGTCGCAACCATGCGTGGTGGTTGAACAAGGTTTGACCGAGTGTAGGGGCCTTTCTCTCAGTAATGGTGTATCGTGGTAGATGGTGAGGCGGAAACCATTCTCGGTGATGAAGTATATAGGTGTCCAACCAATGTTGAGCTTGTCGTAAAAAGTCATGAGCCAACTGAGGAAGAGGAAGTAATCGGTGACGGGGCGGAATGTCCCCTCCTTTATAGCGAAGGGCCAGTCGTAAAGCTTGTAGGGCACGTGTCTGATGTGGTTCATCCACAAAAACAAGGAAACGGACGAGCAAGTAGAGGTAGGCGATCGGAGTGCTATTCCGCCGTAGAACTCGTTGTGAGAAAAACTTGAGAATGCCATTGCTGCCGACATATTGTATGATTGTGGCGAGTGTCTCCAGTTGCTCGATGAGGGAGCGAGTGCCAAGGAGTTCCGGTAGATCCCGGTAGTGTGTATACCGATGGTGAGCGCGTAGAAGACGAGCTCCGTTGCCACCTTCCAAGAAGGTGACGACCATGGGTACTTCCAGTTGCACTCCCAATTTCCGTAGAAACGTGTACACGAAGGGGGCGTTCAAGTGTGGGTGATATGTAGCAATAAGGGCTTGTTCGAAGGCGCGGACTTGGTCCTCTGTAGGTCGATGCTGTAGAGTGATCGGTAGATAATGGTCATAGGTACCGGCCGCGTGCCAGATGCGTAGGGCAGGCTCAAAGAACGCTTGCGTGCCGGAACAAAGTTGATTGTATTTTGACCGGCGGCTGACTTCCCGGTCGGTGATCGTGTGGATGGTGGAACCGATGTACCATCCGGGGTGTTTGTGTCAGACTTTGATGTAGACAACGCTAGATTGTAGATGATGTCGTAGAGTGTACCGCTGTACGTCCAAGTTGAAGAATAAATCCTGGAGACCGCGATGGTTGGTAGTAGTGGCGAACCGTAGGCGATGAAGTTGTAAGAACCACAAAGCGCGTACCCAGGAAAGACGTCCAAAAACATGATGTGGAAGAACTTGTCGTATGATCGGCGATGCCGCAATGTAAAAGTCCAGAAAAGATCCAAGAAGTCTGTGTGGGTGAGGCGGTAGGTGGCGACGTACTGGGGGTCGCGGAGGAAAAGGGAGAACCTCGTCATCGTCGTCCCCCAAATCCTCAGCGAAAAAGTGGTCAAAACTGAAGATCTCCAGGCAGAAGAGGAGTCGGAGAGCGGAAGTTTGTAAGGTGTGAGCAACATGAACGCGTGTCAGTGCGTATCTGCTGG